TAACAAAAATCGAAGAAGAAAAAATAATACACAACAAAAACCAGCATGTCAGGATGCAGAAAATGCTGACAAGACAGACGCGGTCTTTTAGAGTCTGGATGATCATGTCTCAAACCTGACCGGTAACCTGGCCTCTGTTCAAGATCAAAGCAAAAAGTGCATGAATTTATTTTTATTTATTCTATCCTAAATCATGTGTTAAGTGTTTTTTTGGAACCTTCAGATTCATTACATCCAAACCCAGAGTCAGCTCGGAAAATGGAAATCAGGACAAACATATGCTATTGGCCATTGAAAGAGTTTCAGATTAGAAAGCCACTCTGCCATAATCTGAGGGAAAGGTGCAGTTTGGATTTGAACCTAGCACCTGCTGTTCCCAAGACAGGTGCTCTGGCCAACTTAGTCCTAACACTAAAAGAAAAAACCTCTGGATACGATACTTCCAAACGCAGTTTCATCTAAGACAGTGGGGGGAAGCAAAATTTACTATGCTTTCTACTCAGTTACTTTGCACATGCATAAAAAGGCTCTTGTGCGGTGCTGGTAAAAAAACAAGGTCCCGCCGAGATTTGAACTCAGATCGTTGAATTCAGAGTTCAGAGTGCTAACCATTACACCATGGAACCTCAAGTCTTCTGATTGGTGCTGCCCGGGCTAAAGAGATAAAAATGTAAAAAAAAAAAAAAAGGCAGGCAAAGAGCAAATTTGATCTTTTTTTTTCTATTTTGACCACATCGAAAATCGCCAATTTTTGATTGCTCTGAGTAGAATTAGCTCAAATGGTTAAGCGCTCGCTTTACATGCTAGAGGTAGCGGGAACAATGCCTGCATTCTCCACCTCGGTTTTTAATGCCTTTTTACATTGGCTTTTTTTGCAAAGCTGGTGGCACCTTGAGGGTTTAAAGCGAAACAACTTTCGTCAGCTTTGCCGGTTTCCGTGTCGTACATATCATTGCAAGCCTTCAGAAGCCCTATCAAGTCACAGTTTTCTTTTATTCAGCAGCGTGTCCGCAGTGGGACATCAAAGCGCTAAATACATAGCATTATAGAGTGCTGTCGATCCGGCCATTGGAATCATCGCCAGAATGTTACAATCCTATGTTTGTCTTGTCTCATCTGTTTTTTTTCTTGTTCCTGTTTGCTTAGAACACATCTAATTGGCCACTTCCAGCTTGCTTGATCCTGATTGGCCTACAGTGTTTTAAAAAGCCATGACACCACTTCCTTGGCAGCCATCTTGTTTTTGGTCACTTGCTTGTGTTTGTTGAAATGTTTGATTGTGGTATAGTGCAGAGTTTTTGGATGTGTTAGGACTGAGAATATTGAGATTTGTGAGTACTGTTTGCTTTGTTTGACTTTTGAGAAAATATTGAGATTTGTGAGTACTGTTTGTTTTGTTTGACTTCTGAGATTATATTGAGAATTGTGAGTACTGTTTGTTTTAGTGTTTGCTTTGTTCATGATACTTTGTTCCACCGGCTTGTTTGACCTTTGTTGCCTGCTGACATTGATTTTGGATTGTCCTTCAAATATGGTTGCCTGTTTTTGTAAATAGATTGTAAATAGTGTATATATTGGGATAGTAAGGAGTTTGACGCCATTTTCTTTGTAAAACCTTTTGGCCTCTGTTTTTGTGTTAGGTAGTTAGGGAAGTGAATAGTACTTTCTTTTCTTTTATTTTTGATCAGGTAAGTTAGAGATTTAATATAAAGGAATTTTTGTTTGTTATTTTGGCCTTGTCAGCTCCCGAATTCAAACCCCAATAAATCTTTGAATTCATTTTGTTGTCTTGTCTTTCATGTTGTGCACCATCCCTAGACGGTGCGTAACATGAAATAATGTGACTATCTGGGAGGAAGATAGCGTTTTGGTCAAGTGGAAGCAGGTGGACTTAAGGGTGAAGCAGCTAGGCTTTTTGGGTGACTTTCAGTCACCTGACCCTTGTGCACAAAATAGAACAACAGCACTGTTTTGCTGAAACCCAGGATCGGACCAGGGACCTTTAAATCTTAAGTCTAATGCTCGCCCAACAGAGCTATTTCGTCTGCCCTTTCACATGTATCCTGCAGCATTCATGTCTGTGAGACTAAGCAGAATCCTGAAATGCCTCTGAGGTCTTAAAGGGTAAAAGCTTGGGCAGTACAGGGATCGAACCCGCGACCTTGGCGTTATTAGCACCACGCTCTAACCAGCTGAGCTTACCGGCCACTTTTTGCCATGTTTTCTAAAAAGCTCAGAGTAACTGTCATTTTCCGGCCTTCAAGAGATAAGAATGCTATTCCAGCTTTTTTTGTGCGGTGCTGGTAAAAAAAACAAGGTCCCACCGAGATTTGAACTCAGATCACTGGATTCAAAGTCCAGAGTGCTAACCATTACACCATGGAAACTCAAGTCTTCTGGTTGGTGCTGCCCGGGCTAAAAAGAAAATGTAAAAAAAACAAATAATAAACGGCCTTGCCAGAAGGTAGCAAAATGTCAATACAAGGCAGTGCCAATGTGCATTGATTTCTGAGTAACTCGTCATTCGGCATGCAGGGCTCCTCACACGTTTACTGGAGCAGGACCAGGTAGGGCCTTCAAAAGAAAAGCGCACTATTCCAGGCATTTTGACGACTAAACGGCAGGCAGGGCAAAGAGGCAACCACAGAGCAAATGTGATCTTTTTTTTCTAATTTGACCACGTCGAAAATCGCCAATTTTTGATTGCTCTGAGGGGAATTAGCTCAAATGGTTAAGCGCTCGCTTTACATGCTAGAGGTAGCAGGAACAATGCCTGCATTCTCCACCTCTGTTTTCATGCCTTTTTACATTGGCTTTTTTTGCAAAGCTGGTGGCACCTTGAGGGTTTAAAGCGAAACTACTTACGTCAGCTTTGCCGGTTTCCATGTAGTACATATCATTGCAAGCCTTCAGAAGCCCTATCAAGTCACATTTTTCTTTTATTCAGCAGCGTGTCCGCAGTGGGACATCAAAGCGCTAAATACATAGCATTATAGAGTGCTGTCGATCAGGCCATTGGAATCATCGCCAGAAGCAATGTGACTATCTGGGAGGAAGATAGCGTTTTGGTCAAGTGGAAGCAGGTGGACTTAAGGGTGAAGCAGCTAGGCTTTTTGGGTGACTTTCAGTCACCTGACCCTTGTGCACAAAATAGAACAACAGCACTGTTTTGCTGAAACCCAGAATCGGAGCAGGGACCTTTAAATCTTAAGTCTAATGCTCGCCCAACAGAGCTATTTCGTCTGCCCTTTCACAAGTATCCTGCAGCATTCATGTCTGTGAGACTAAGCAGAATCCTGAAATGCCTCTGAGGCCTTAAAGGGTAAAAGCTTGGCCAGTACGGGGATCGAACCCGCGACCTTGGCGTTATTAGCACCACGCTCTAACCAGCTGAGCTAACCGGCCACTTTCTGCCATGTTTTCTAAAAAGCTCAGAGTAACTGTCATTTTCCGGCCTTCAAGAGATAAGAATGCTATTCCAGCTTTTTTTGTGCGGTGCTGGTAAAAAAAACAAGGTCCCACCAAGATTTGAACTCAAATCGCTGGATTCAGAGTCCAGAGTGCTAACCATTACACCATGGAACCTCAAGCCTTCTGGTTGGTGCTGCCCGGGCTAAAGAGAAAAAAATGTAAAAAAAAAAAAAAAAAAAAAAAAACGGCCTTGCCAGAAAGTAGCAGAATGTCAATACAAGGCAGTGCCAATGTGCATTGATTTCTGAGTAACTCGTCATTTGGCATGTAGGGCTCCTCACACGTTTACTGGAGCAGGACCAGTTAGGGCCTTCAAAAGAAAAGCGCACTATTCCAGGCATTTTGACGACTACACGGCAGGCAGGGCAAAGAGGCCACCACAGAGCAAATGTGATCTTTTTTTTCTAATTTGACGACGTCGAAAATCGCCAATTTTTGATTGCTCTGAGGGGAATTAGCTCAAATGGTTAAGCACTCGCTTTACATGCTAGAGGTAGCGGAAACAATGCCTGCATTCTCCACCTCTGTTTTCATGCCTTTTTACATTGGCTTTTTTTGCAAAGCTGGTGGCACCTTGAGGGTTTAAAGCGAAACTACTTACGTCAGCTTTGCCGGTTGTAGCCATTTTTTTTTCTTTGCCGTTGTCAACTACGGTTTGTAGTACATATCATTGCAAGCCTTCAGAAGCCCTATCAAGTCACAGTTTTCTTTTATTCAGCAGCGTGTCCGCAGTGGGACATCAAAGCGCTAAATACATAGCATTATAGAGTGCTGTCGATCAGGCCATTGGAATCATCGCCAGAAGCAATGTGACTATCTGGGAGGAAGATAGCGTTTTGGTCAAGTGGAAGCAGGTGGACTTAAGGGTGAAGCAGCTAGGCTTTTTGGGTGACTCAGTCACCTGCCCCTTGTGCACAAAATAGAACAACAGCACTGTTTTGCCGAAACCCGGGATCGAACCAGGGACCTTTAGATCTTCAGTCTAACGCTTTCCCAACTGAACTATTTCGGCTGCTATTTCAAAGTATCATACATGTCTCTTAGACTAAGCAGAATCCTGAAATGCCTCTGAGGCCTTAAAGGGTAAAAGTTTATCCAGTACGAAGTTCGAACCCGCGACCTTGGCATTATTAGCACCACGCTCTAACCAGCTGAGCTAACCAGCCACTTTCTGCCATGTTTGCTAAAAAGCTCAGTATAAATGTCATTCTCCGGCCTTCAAGAGATAAGAATGCTATTCCAGCTTTTTTTGTGCGGTGCTGGTAAAAAAGTGGAAGCAGGTGGACTTAAGGGGTGAAGCAGCTAGGCTTTTTGGGTGACTTTCAGTCACCCAACCCTTGTGCACAAAATAGAACAACAGCACAGTTTTGTTGAAACCCAGGATCGGACCAGGGACCTATAAATCTTAAGTCTAATGCTCTCCCAACAGAGCTATTTCGTCTGCCCTTTCACAATTATCCTGTAGCATTCATGTCTGTGAGACTAAGCAGAATCCTGAAATGCTTCTGAGGCCTTAAAGGGTAAAAGTTTGGCCATTACGGGGATTGGACCCGCGCCCCTGGCGTTATTAACACCACGCTCTAACCAGCTGAGCTAACCGGCCACTTGCCACCATAATTGCTAAAAATCTGAGAGTAACTGTCATTTTCCGGCCTTCAAGAGATAAGAATGCTACTCCAGCTTTTTTTTGTGCGGTGCTGGTAAAAAAACAAGGTCCCACCGAGATTTGAACTCGGATCGCTGGATTCAAAGTCCAGAGTGCTAACCATTACACCATGGAACCTCAAGTCTTCTGGTTGGTGCTGCCTGGGCTAAAAAAAAAAATGTAAAAAAAAAAAAAAACGGCCTTGCCAGAAGGTAGCAAAATGTCAATACAAGGCAGTGCCAATGCGCATTGATTTCTGAGTAACTCGTCATTCGGTATGCAGGGCTCATCACACGTTTACTGGAGCAGGACCAGGTAGGGCCTTTAAAAGAAAAGCGCACTATTCCAGGCAATTTGACGACTAAACGGCAGGTAGGGCAAAGAGGCCACCACAGAGCAAATTTTCTTTTTTTTCTAATTTGACCACGTCGAAAATCGCCAATTTTTTGATTGTTCTGAGGGGAATTAGCTCAAATGGTAAAGCGCTCGCTTTGGATGCGAGAGCTAGCGGGAAAATGCCTGCATTCTCCACCTCTGTTTTCATGCCTTTTTAAAGCGAAAAGGTTTAAAGTGAAACTCTTGATTCAATCATCACCAGAAGCGACGTGACCATTTGGAAGTAAGATAGCTTTTTGGTCAAGTGGAAGCAGTTGGACTTAAGGGTGCAGCAGCTAGGCTTTTTGGGTGACTTTCGGTCACCTAACTCTTGTGCCCAAAACAGAAAAACAACACTACTTTACCAAAGCCTGGATCTAACCAGGGTCCTTTAGATCTTCAGTCTAACACTCTCCCAACTGAGCTATTTCAGCTGCCATTTCATTGTTTTTCTGCAGCATAGACGTGTGTAAGACCGAGCAGAGCCCTTAAATGCATCTGAGGCCTAAGAGAGTAAGAGCTCGGCCAGTACAGGGATGGAATCCACAACCTTGCCGTTATTAGCACCATAGTCTAACCAGCTGATCTAACCGGCCACTTCCTGCCTAAAGCACTAGAAAGCCCAGAGTAACTGTCATTCCCTGGCCTTCAAGAGATTAACATTCTATTCCAGCTTTTTTTTGTGCGGTGCTGGCAAAATAACAGATCCCACTAAAATTTGAACTCAGATCGCTGGATTCAGAGTCCAGAGTGCTAACCATTACCCCATGGAACCTTAAGCTTGTTGTGTGGTGCTGTCAGAGCTGTAGGGAATGAATAAAAAAAAAAAAAAAAACGGCCTTGCAGGAAAGTAGTAGAATGTCAATCCAAGGCAGGCACGTGCACAGGTAGGGCTCAACCTGTGCAGAGCACATGCCCTTTTTGTAGTTACACTTGGAAGTGCCCTTTTTTTTTGGGTCGGAGTTTTTTTAAATAATTAAATAAATAAATCCTATTGGTAATGGTAACCCTTTACGTCTGTTTGTCTTTTTAACAAATATATAATCAACTGAAGGCACTAAAATGCGCATGCTATAGAACCGTTTAAACTGTCAGTCAAACATCACAACTCCGCCCCCAGAGCGCCGCCAACTTACATTTCAGCACCTCAGCCAGACAGTCTCACAGAAGAGCAGAAGCACATGAACGTCTTCATCTTGTAACGGTAAAATATCTTGTTGTTTGAATAAGTGCAACGTTGTCTTTATGAAATAAACACTAGTATGTTTATAAAGGTTCATATAATGCATCAACACACCGGAGAGATGTTGACGACGTAATGTTATTTCGTCGTTTTAATGATGGACAAATTGCACACATTCACAGGTCAAAAACCCGCGTTGTTACTTCATTTGAGTTTGACACTAAGCAACCGAGTGATCCTTATCAGCTGAGCTAGGTAAAATATAGGAAATTTCTAATTTGATTTCATGGCTAGCTGCTGAATGTACTAATGCATGCAAATCACATGATGTAATAATTTAATAACATTTCATCATGTTTTATAGCCTGGTCACACAGCATGACAGGTTAAAGTTTATGATGCTATTAGGCATATGTTTGCTGGCTAGATAAAAAAAAAATAAAAATCTAGTATTGTAAAATTCTTGCTTGTCTTTAAGTGTATTTTACCTGTTTTTTATGTGTTTTTTAGGAAAATATGCTGTTCATCGAGGTGGCATTTATTAAATGTAAAAAATTGTTAAATATTTATTACATTTATAAATAACTGCTTTCTAATTGTAGTTACAAATAAAATTATTACTCCAGTCATTATTGCTTTTATTACAATTACCAATAATAATAATTAATTCATTCAGTTTATTTTCTGCTTAGTCTCTATTCATTCATCAGAGGTCGCCACAGCAGAATGAACCGCCAACTTATCCAGCATATGTTTTACAGAGCAGATGCCCTTCTAGCTGCAACTCAACACTGGGAAACAAACACCCATACACACTCATTCGGCCAATTTAGCTTATTCAATTCCCCTATAGCGAATATGTTTGGACTGTGGGGGAAACCGGAGCACCTGAAGGAAACCTACGCCAACACACAGAGAACATGCAAACATAGAAATGCCAACTGACCCAGCTGATTCGAGGCTCGAATCAGTGACCTGCTTGCTGTGAGACGATTGTGCTGCCCACTGCACCTCTGTGACCCTATTATATTAATAACATTAATAATAGTAATAATAATAATTTTTAAAATTAATATTAAAGTGATTTATGTATCATGTGTCTAAAGACTGGAGAAATGTAGCTGAAAATTCATCTTTAAAATCACTGGAATAAATTATTAAACTATAATCTACTCTTGAACAGATTTTTTTTTAGTGCAATAACATTTTATAATATTAAAATGTATTCTGTATTTTTGATTAAACAAATGCAGCTTTGGTGAGCGGGAGAAGCTTATTTTAAACCATTTAAAAATCCTACTGACCCTAAACGTTTGACCGGTAGTGTATAAAATTAGAAAAACATAGTTTACTACTGTAAAAATGTTGTATTAAAAAAAAAACAAACAAAAAAAAAAAAACAATGAGAATAAAAATCATCAGGTCACTGTGCAATCTATATATTTTATCATGTAGAATGTAATCTGCATGTATGCAAAGCAAAGAAAAAACAGAAAATAAGCATCTTACACTACTAAATAAAAGAGAGTACACAACCAATTCACAAACACTGGACAAAAAATACACAGACAATCACTCAGGAGGCAAATTGGTAAAGCTTAAACTTTACCAATAAACTTTAATAGAAGCCCAGTGTATTTGCATTGAATAATGCCAGGCTATCATAAAATATGATTTAGAAATTATGTGGTCCTTAAACTCTTTTGTCATATGTATTTATAATAGTGTATAACATGTCAACCTATAGTTCAATCAACATTGCATTGCTGCCCTCTAGTGACCTCTACATATCAACCATGACAGTTTTAAAGATCAAAACATAGTTTTTTGTACTGATGTGAATTTTGATTACTTGATGGTTGCAGTGCAATGCCTCGTAAGGAGAGAATTAAGAAAAAGAAGGAGAGGGAGCGACAGCAGGCAGCCAAGAGTAGCAGCTCACTTTCTTCATGGATCAGACCAGTTTGTGGCAGGGAAGAAGAAAAGGAAGAAAATAGTAATTCGGATTTAGAAAGAGAAGTGATAGATGATGTGCAAGAATTTTCTGGTGAACAAGATCAAGTAGCTACTGCAGGAGAGATACAAGGAGATACAAGAGAGGAAAGCCAGTATAGAACTGCAAGTATAGATCAGGAAAATGTGGAGACTGGAGCCACTGCAGGTGAGTTACTGTCAGAAGAACCAAGAGAAGAAAGCCAGTTTGGAAGTGCTAGTATAGATCAGGAAAATGTAGAGACTGAAGCCACTGCAGGAGAGTTGCCACTTGAAGAATCAGGAAAAGAAAGCCAGCATAGAAGTGCTGCAAATAAAGAGGATATATTTGCAAAACTAATGGTTTTAAGTTGTCCTACGGATCCTGCCCACATGCAGACATTTAATATTGATTTAAGTGACAGATATGTTGAAATGTGTGAGAAAGTCGGACCTTGCCAGCCTGTTATGACATTCCCAAAAAATGCAGAAGGACGGTCTTTTCAAAGGAGTTGGTACACAGATCGCCCGTGGTTGGAGTATTCACCTAAAAATGATGCCATCTACTGCTTTAGTTGTCGAATTTTTCTGAGAGAAGAAAAATTCAAAAACAAAACAGCCTGGAAGACATTAGGCATAAATACATGGAGGAGCGCCACTGGAAAAATGAAGGAGCATGCCAGCACAGAGGCCCATATGATGAGCATGGTGAGATGGAACATATACTCCAAAAAAGCTCTACAAACTGCTTTTGATACATCGGATATTCAAGGCAAAGCAATACGAGAGAGAGAAAGACAAAGGAACAGGGAAATCCTAACACGTTTGATAGATATTTCCTTGTATCTAGCACGACAGGGGCAAGCTTTTAGAGGAGATGATGAGTCAAGCTCAAGTGCCAACCAAGGCAACTTTATTGAACTTGTGAAAACATTGGCCCAATATGATAGTGTAATGAAGCTGCATTTGGATGCCATCCAGGAAAAACAAGCCTCCATGAAAAAACCCCAAGTGTCCCTTCTTTCAAACAGGAGCCAGAATGACATAATAATGTCCTTGGGAACCTTCATTAGGAGTAAAATACAAAATGAAATCAAAGAAGCTCAAATCTTCTCCATCCTTCTGGATGAGACCACAGATGTCTCTCACAAAGAGCAGGTATCCTTTGTAGTTCGCTATGTAAGAGACATGGAAGTAAAGGAGCGTTTTCTACAGGTCTGCACTCTTGAGTCTACAACAGGAAAAGAGTTGGAGAATGTTGTCATCTCTCTCCTTCAAGACAATGGGCTTGACTTGAAGAACATCAGGGGTCAAGGATATGATGGAGCTGCGAACATGAGTGGAATGTACAAAGGTCTACAGTCTCGGATACGTGCACACAATGAAAAAGCTCTTTATGTTCATTGCCAGGCACACTGCTTGAATCTGGTACTAGTTGAGAGTGCCAAATCCAGTATTCACTTTGTGACATTTTTCTCTTTAGTGGAGAAACTGTATGTTTTCTGCACTGGTTCCACAAAGAGGCATACAGCATTTTTAAAATGCCAGCAGTCGTTGTATCCTGGTCAGCGCGTTGTTGAGCTCCAGAAGTTGTCTGACACTCGGTGGGCCTGCAGAGAAAGATCCCTGAAAGCCCTCAATAAAGTTCTGAAAGCTTTAATCAAGCTTCTGACAGACCTCTGTGAGTCAGACCCACCTGAAACAGCTGCTGGTGATGCAAAGATGTACCTGAGGGCTATCGACTTTGAATTTCTTCTTTGTTCAGAAATCACCACCACAGTCTTCCAGATCACTGGTGTCGCCTCTGATGCTCTGCAAAAAAAAGATCTGGATCTCTCCACTGCCTACACTATAACTGATGGTGTGCTAGACACAGTAAAGAATCTGAGGTCTGAAGAGGAATTTAAAACCATATTCCAGAAAGCCGTTGAAAAGGCAGAAGATGTAGGTATTGACATTCCTACAGTACCTCCTGGCCACGGAAGGAAAAGGAAAGTGCCAACACGATATCTGCATAGTGCTACAGCAGCTCAGGACAGCCATACTTTCCAAACTGTTGAAGAGTTCTACCGAGCCAAGGTGTATTTCACGTTCCTGGATACAATCACAGAGGAACTCGGAAGAAGATTTAAAGTAGATGGGACGATGCCTACAGGAAAAATACTGCAGTCATTCCAAAGCCTAACAGTTCATGACAACTGGGTGGGCACACCAAACACAGAGGCTGTCCAAGCAATACAAACACTGTGTAACTTTTATAGTGTTGAGGAGGAACAGCAACTGAAGACAGAGCTGAAGGTGTTTCATACCACCTTCAAGTCAAGTGGCATGAAGAGCATGCTTTCAATTCTTAAAGAAACCAGTGGCCAGCACGTTTTCCCTGCACTAGTGGAAATGCTTAAAGTATATGCCACCCTACCTGTATCAACTGCAACTGTAGAGAGATCCTTTTCAAAGATGAGGTTAATTAAGAACCAACTCCGAAGTCTCTGCTCAGAGGAGAGACTCTCCGACCTTCTCCTTATAGCCATTGAGAAAGACATCCCAGTGGATCACAGTGAGGTCATAAACATCTTCAAACACATGGCTCACAGAAGAGTGTTGTTGTAATTAGTTTTAAAGATCTCAATATGTATATATTATTTGTATAAAAGTTCTTAATACTAATTAAATATACTATAAGAACATTATGGTGTTGTTGTTTTTTTGTGGTGGAGAGGTTTGTGGAGAGGTTGGAAGGTGCCCTTTTTTCAGTTTCAGCACATGCCCTTCAAAATGTCTGTGCACGGCCCTGATCCAAGGTGGTGCCAATGTGCATTGATTTCTGAGTAACTGAGTCATTCTGAGTCATTCGGCATGCAGGGCTCCTCACACGTTTACTGGAGCAGGACTAGGTAGGGCCTTCAAAAGAAAAGCGCGCTATTCCAGGCAATTTGACGACTAAACGGCAGGCAGGGCAAAGAGGCCACCACAGAGCAAATGTGATCTTTTTTTTTTTTTTTTGACCACGCCAAAAACTACCAATTTGAATTTTTCCGAGGGGAATTAGCTCAAATGGTAGAGCGCTCGCTTAGCATAGGAAGGGGCCCAATCTTTTCGCTCACTCGCAAGCGAACAAGCCGCAAAAAAACTGAAAAAATGCGACAAATTTCGCTTGCAGTAGTGTTCGCGGCTTTGTGACTGTGCATAATGTGGTATTTTGGTTGCATATTGCATGTCATTCTTAATGTCATTTTTTGCGTGCTGGATTCGAACACACGATCTGTGTAACACAATATCCAATCAGTGTCGGTTTCAGCGGAGCCAATCAGCTGCGCTCTTATTGAAATTTTATTGACGTAACACAGGCAATTATATTGATATTACTATTATTATGTGGATATTGTTCTTAAAAAGCATATTACGTTAATTAAAAATGAATGAAAATGTTTCTATTAAACATATGTATGCATGTTTATGTATATATAAGTATATTATATATATATTTATTTATTAATATATAAATATATACTATACTATATATATATATATATATATATATATATATATATATATATATATATTAATATATGTTATATTTCTTTATGTAATAACTTTAAATGAATGCACACAAAAACAAGTAATATGCAAAATGGTTTATTAAAATGAATACAAATATTAAAATCGCAAAACAATTTAAAAAATATAAAAAACAAAATAAAAACATATCTTAATATATAAACTATATAATATACAATAAATAAAAACAATACAATAAATATTTATTTATTATGCACATATAATATATTAAAACAATACTATATATAAATATATTTATTTATTATACACATTATATAAAAACAATACTCTATATATATATACAGGGATTAAAGTTCTCCGTCGTTACGACGGATTTCCGTCAATTGGAGCGAGTCATTGACGGATATCCGTCAATTACAGTGTTCCGCTTGTTCTTAATTTTTTTTCATGCTCTTTTCCTAATTTTAATGCTGTAAATATAGGCATTTCTCAAATAGTGTAATAAATGTCTTAATTTTAGTTTGAATAGGTCTTAAATTAAGAAAAGAAGTGTTCAGCCTGCTGAGGAGGAAAAAAATTTTGTGATCAAAGCCTGGAGTGGAGCAAATGCACGTTCCTCTCTCCACTCTAAGCGTTTTAGCATCACTCCGCTATGGATCCACTCCGGGTTTTGGTATAGTTTCAGAGAAGTACATGTCAGGCTACGGCTGAGGTAAGTTATTTATATTTAAGATAGCATGGACCCATTTATAATGCAGGAAGGCTCCGATGTTTCGGAGATCGAAAAAAGTGTAAAAAATAAATGGAGATGGGCTTGGCTTAGCGAAATTGGGGAGAATGGCAAGCCTTTTAGTTCGTGGGCAAAAAAAATTAAACAACCAGGTACGTGTCTTTGCACAGTATGCCACAGGAAACTTCAATATGGCAGTAATGGCAAAAAAGTGCTAGCTCGCCATCAGTCAGAAGCCAGTCACAATGCCGCCGTTCGTGCTCTACAGTACACTTGCTCCCTGCCTGGTGCGACAAGTACCACAACGGAGATTCATGCATCTATGGCCGACCGTGTGTGCGATGTAAAAGTGCGCGTATGTTCTTTCATAGCGGAGCATGACCTGTCGTTCACAATCTCACAACCGCTAGTTAATTTGATGCAGTCAGTTGTCAAAGACAAGAGTGCACTTTCAAGATTGTCAATGTCTAATGCACATGCCTCCTACTTGTGCACACATGGTATTGCTGCTTATTGGAAGTCCGAATTGTCATCTAAGCTGAAAACGAAGATGTTCTCATTAAATGTAGATGAGGCAACAGATGGAAACATGGACAGGATTCTGAATGTTCTTGTTCGGTACTATGATGAAGATGTGGGAAAAGTGGCAACCCAGCATCTAGCCTCGAGGAAACTGAATATCGCAGATGCCTTATCAATCACAAACACATTGACAGATATTCTCCAGTCATATAGCCTGAACTGGAATCAGGTTGTTGGTATACTGTTGGATAACTGCAGTGTGATGAGAGGGAAAAAGTCTGGAGTAGAGACACTAGTCAGAAGAGAAAATCCATCACTGCTGGATGTCAGCGGAGACACTGTCCATATGGTCTCGAATGCAGCCAAGGCCCTTTTAAATACTTTCCAGGGATTTGTGGAACAATTTTGCTCTGATGTATACTATGACATTGAAAAATCACCCAAACAGAAAGAAATTTTTTCTGAGTTCCAGTCCTTACTTCATTGGGAGAATAAGAGCCTAATACGTCCCATCAGCAGCAGGTTCCTGCAAATGTTAGATGTGTGCAACAGAATACGGGACCTTATGGATCCATTGACCGTGCACTTCTACAGCGTCCTGTCTTCTCATGATCAACACAAACACAGGTACTTCTATTTTTGTATCATCTTATTTCTGTACTAGTAGGCTTTTTTTGGATCTTTAATAAAACACACACACGCACAGGTCTATGGTGATATCTTTGTGGGGCCCTTCCATAGGCATAATGTATTTTTTACTGTTTAAACTATATATTCTATCCCCTTCCCCTTTTATTTCCCACGTGGGGCCCACAAAAAGGGCCCCACAACATCAAAAATCCCCGGTATTACTATCCATGAGGGGACATTTGGTCCTAAAAAAGTAATATAAATAAACACACACACACACACACACACACACATATATATATATACACACACACTTTTTTGTTATTAATAATATTTAAAGATGCAGACATTTACTGGATTTTTTTACATAACAAATCTAAACCAAGGGGTGGCGATGCCTCAGTGATCAATCAGGTTATGTATATAAAGTTATAGATACAGTGACTCAAAGGGTTAAATATGTTAGAACAGTGAAGCTCAGCTTTATTCCAGATGCTATCAAATTATTAAATAATCTTTATATAGAAAAAAGGATGAGTCTTGACCTGTAAACTCAAAAATTATGTCATGACTGTTGAAGTATTGGCAATTAGAAATAGCATTGTCTATTTTTTCTCCTTAATCCTTATTTGTATATTATAATTTTGTGATGCAGATGGCTCCTGAACCAGCTTCTTGATAAGCATGCAGTTACATCTGATGAGAAGGCCAGGATAATATGTCTGCAACAGCAAATAGCAAAATCTGCGAGGATAGGAAGTGATGTCAACAAAAAACGAAAGACACGCATCTGTATGCTTTTTTCCGAGTTCGACAAGCTCACAACCATTATTGATTTGTATCGAGGTATGTTCACTTTTTATTCACTTTAAGTGTTAAGAAAAGTACAGAGATTTCTTATTTATTGAAATCCCTTTATTGCTATATTTATTATATGCTTATTTTTCTTGGAATCCTTGAATGGAATCTGAGTTAACTATAAATAGTTTTTAGATCACTGTTAATCAGATCACTTTGGTTAATACTACTACTACTAATAATAAACTATTTATACAGCAGTTTTCAAAAACAAAGTTACGGACTTATTAACCAGATTTAAAACATGTCAGGACTGATGTAATTTAAACTAGACAATTGAATAATACAAATGGAAATAACAAATCTAGAAAATAATATTAAAGGGTTGTAATGTTCTAAGAAGAGTATGTTACATTGCTATGAATGTGATAATTAATCAATGAATAAAATATACAGACCCATTTCTAATCTGGTTCTATTGTGATTTTTAGGTGTACTTCCAACTTTCCAGGTGTTCCTGAAGAAGTTGCAACATGAAAAGCCCATGATTCATGTGCTGCATGCTGAAATGCTACTGCTGGTTAGGGAACTTCTCTCCAAATTTATGAAGCCTGAAACTATCCCTTTGAGTGCAAATGGCTTGTTGAAGCTTAATGTTCACCAGAGAGACCTGCAGTACACTGACAAAAGGTTGTCTGTGGGAAGATTCAGCTTCTTTGCCTTAAACAAGGCTAGAGTGGAAAAGAAGCCCTGGGTGCAGAAGCTCTACAGTTCTCTCAGAGAAGGCTACATAAAGGCAGCAACATTCCTCCTGAAAAACCTGCCCCTCAACAACATCATCATCACCTCTTTATCTGCGTTGACACCATCATTGATTCTCCACGAATCAGTCCAAGGTGCATTCAACACCTTGGCCAAGGCCTTGCCAAATGCTGTGAAGTCAGAAGAGTTGGGTCAACTGGATGAAGAGGTTCGAGCCTACCAGATTAATACAGATCTAGGAGCACAGGCCAAATGCTTTGAGGAGAACAATGCACGAATCGATGTTGACTGGTGGAGTAAGATTTTTGCCATGAAGATGACAGGAGGAGGAACGAGGTTCCCCATCTTAGGGAAGTTGGTAAAGGCTCTTCTGTCATTGTTCACTGGCCCTCTTGTAGAAGGATCATTTAACATGATGGATGATATAATTGAGAAAGACAGGGTTAGGCTGAACATTGAGACTTATGAAGGTTTAGCCATTCTCAAGTCCAACATGAAGGTAATGGGCAAAACTGCATCTAAAATGCAAATTACCCCTGCATTAAGGAGATTTTGCCTGTCTTCTTATGAGACATACCAAAATCATCTGAAGAAAAAGAAGGTGAACCTTGACAATCAAAAGGAAAGGAAACTGAGGGAAGCTGTGAAGGTTCTCTCAGAAGTTAGGGTTAGAAAAGTAAAGAAAGGTTCCACCTCTTATGTTTGTGCTAAAGCCCCCACCTCTTCCACCCTGGGAGTTAAACGAATAGCTGCTGCTACAGCCTCCACCTCCTCCACTGCTGGAGTTAAAGGTAAATCTGCTGCTACAGCCTCCACCTCCTCCACTGCTGGAGTTAAAGGTAAATCTGCTGCTACAGCCTCCACCTCCTCCACTGCTGGAGTTAAAGGTAAATCTGCTGCTACAGCCTCCACCTCCTCCACTGCTGGAGTTAAAGGTAAATCTGCTGCTACAGCCTCCACCTCTCCTGGAGCCACTCCTGCACATGTAGCTAGTCAAACACTAAAACGGGTTTCAGGTGTAGCCAAGCTTCAGGAATATGGTTTTACAGCCAAAAAGCAGAAAAAGTGAAAAGCACTCTAGAGGCATTTGGACAAGAAAAGCACTTTTTGGAATTTAGTGGTGGTGCTGTTACTTTTTTTTTGCTGTTAATTATTAATAGTTTCACAAAACATTGTTTGGTGTTATAAGATACATAAAACATGCACTGAAAATACACTTTTTGAAAAAGCACTTTTTGGAATTTAATGGTGATGCTATTACTTTTTTTCTGTTCATTATTAGGAGTTTCACAAAACATTGTTTGGTGTTATAAGATAAATAAAAATATGCACTGAAAAAAACACTTTTTGAAAAAGCTCTATTTTGAATTTAATGGTGGTGCTATTACTTTTTTTCTGTTAATATGAGTTTCACCAAACATTTGGTGTTATAAGATAAATAAAAACATGCACTGAAAAGATGTGTGGTAGATGGTTATTTGTCAAGTTATATATTTTTCAAAGATAGCTTTTAAAATATGCAAACTGGCAACATTAAAGCGGTTTAATCTCCCCTTAAAACGCTATTGGTCTCGGCTATTTAAATAAAATTTTGGTTTTAGGAATATGGCTTGGCCTGAAAAAAGTTCAGTCACAAGAATTTTTTTCACTTTAATCCCTGTATATATATTTATTTTTATATACACAATATATTAAACAATAATATAAATACATAATAAAATGCAAGAGTGGGGGCACGTAATATATAAAATATAGTATTTAAGCAATGTATAAAATGTTATTTTTTTAAGAAATATAAATATATTTTTACATAAAATGCACACAAATATTAAATAAGTACACACAAGACAAAATAAGAGTGGGCCTATAAGTGCCACTTTAAAATGCTAAATATTAACACACAAAAATTAAATAAAATGAGAGAGAGAGAGAGTACCCATGTAACATTTACAAAAATATATACACAATTTGTCCTTTATTCTGGAGCTGGAGTTTGTCCTTCTTCTTTGGCTCTCGGTGAAGGCGGTCGCTCTTCTTCCCGCTCCGTCCCATATCTCTCCTTGCTAGCACCTCTTGTCTCGTCTTATTCTATCTCTGAGGCTCTCCTTGTCCTGCTTTCCAAACGAAAAAGGAATTATGGATTTGATCAACTGGTCTCTGAATGCAATTGACACCATCTTCTCAACGAGATCGCTGGGCTCCGGGGAACCCAGCTGTCCTGCGGGGACGCTCGCAGCTGGATATGTGATGGACGGGTGGGAGAAGTGGAGAGTCCTCTGTCTAGCTGCTCTGTCTCTGGAGGATATTGAAGATATCTACCTATTCGGAACTTTGATAACAGGGTTTCTGCTGATGGGCTTATGCGGGGCCCTGGGATATCGGAAACTGATAAAAGCGGTCAGCGCAGCTCAAAACCCCACTAGGCTGGCCGGCTTGATTGAAACACTGATGGGTAGGGTCGCGAATCAGACTATGGTCCTTGACCGCAAACTGGAAACCATCGAGGTGAAGCTAGCGGCTCTGCAACAAATTTTGGCCAGATCGGGAGACGAGTGATGGACATTAAATATCTGTGAAATTGGCAGATATTGACCTAAAGTGGAAGTATCTTACTGTCTTTTTTTCGGCTCTTCTCTTACTCCTGCCAGACGGCCTCGGCTGGAAGTAAACAACTCCCTGGGATAAGCAAGATAAGCGGACGCTCTGAAATTCCTGCCCCTGTCAAGGACACCTGCGGGACTCCGGACTATGCAGGCTCACACACACACACAAACATATCTACAGATAAACATTCACCACCGATCCCCATCCAAACGCCTTCGTGTGCTTTTACCCACGTGGGGCGTGGGCGGGGCTGTGACTTGCGACGGAAATGGCTGCTGGACCAGTTGGCTGCCCGCACTCAACGGACTGTTTTCCATTACCCCTGTTCCCATCCCCTCTGTCTATGTTGTGTCTTGCTGGTGTGCTTATGCTAAGATAGCGCTGTTTTTCTCCCTTTTCTCACTTTGTCCTAATCAAGGGCAAGCTGAGGGGGTGTTTTTTAGCCTAACTGTCCAAATGTATCTTTCTTCGTTTCTAAATGCTACCTCCTAAGATCTGTCTCCCCTGAAAAGTTGTTTGTGATGTTTTGTGTATGGTCTGGGGGGTCCAATTTCGCTATACGAAAGTGTAGTGACAAATAAAGGCTTGATTGATTGATTGATTTATTTTGCTGGCGCTGTTCTGCCAACCAGTCCTCTAAGGACAAATCGGCTATGGCCAAACTCCTTAGTCTTTGGTTGCCCACATTTGCTGCAAACATTAAAAGTAACCGCACGCACATACTTCCTTTTGTGGACTCCACTTTCCTTCTCCTGTTCCCGTCGGCGCAGGTGCAGGTGGAGGAACAGCAGGTGCAGGTGAAGCTGGGACTGCACTGGATGTTGGTGCAGCAAATGATGGAATCACCATTGACACACTCATGTCTGGGTTAAAAACAAGTGTGCCAAACAATGATCCAGGTCCTGAAATGGGCTGCACAACACCTGGTGCTATGGGGGGTGGTGCTATGGGGCACACTGTGCTGGGGGTCGGTGGAAAGGAGCACACCGTGGTGGGGGCAAACACAATGGGGCGCACTGTGGTGGGGGCCAGCGCAATAGGGCGCACTGTGGTGGAGGCTGGTATGATGGGGAACACTGTGGTGGAGGCTGGCGAGGTGGGGCGCACTGTGGTGAAGGTCGGTGTGACAAGGCACACCATGGTAGGGGCCGGTGCAATGTGGCAGACTGTGGTGGGGGTTGGCGCGATGGGGCATTCCGTCGTGGGGGCCGGTGGAAAGGAGCACACCGTGGTGGCATCCGGCAGGAAGGAGCAAACTGTGGTGGTTGCAGAAGCAGACTTTCGACCAGGTCGAAGAAGAGGTGCCTGTCCTTCTTTATTTGGAGGAAAGACAAACTGGTGTTTGGGGCCTGATGTTGATGGTGCCTCGTCCAATTTTTCCCTCGGCAAAGGAAGCTGCGTATCTGCCACAGCAATTGGATCAAGTGGAGTCAGTCCCTGAGTGAGTACACTCATTTCCTGATCCTTTTGCCCCCGTTGAAACCTGATTATAAATGATATGTATTATTCATATATATTAATTTAGAAGTATTCAGGTAATTTAAAGAAAATAATGTGCTTTGGTTACCACTGAATAAGCGTCTTCTGGTTTAGCTCAAAAAGCTGGATCACTGTTTCATCCATCAGCCTGCGACTGCCAAGCACCAGATCCCGGATGTGGTGGTAATCGGTCAGTATTTTAGACCACCTGGGCGTGCGAACACCAGCCTTCTTGGAAGTGGACTTGTGTACGGCACACAGCTTTGTACAAATGGCCTCAACCAAGCGGCTGGTGCTAGGCCACTGTGCTGGACCCCCAGGATGTCCAATCAGACAGTGCTTGACGCTCTCCACACCTGGAGTGACTCCGGAGCGATTCGGTGCCTTAAAGCACCCATGTGTCAGCTGAGGCTGATGTCGAGGCTGGTAGTTGATGCGCTGTTTATCAACATCCAGGAGAGCTGTCCACAGCTGGATGGCCTCTGTCACCTGCAGGTCAGTGAGGTAAGGAGCCACACGAAGACCTACCAAATAAGCAGCCAGATCCTGAACCTTGTCCAACCCAGCAATGCCATCAGGTCCAATGACTACTCCCTGGTAAATACAGAATAAGTTTAGTATATGTGGAATAAAAAAAGACTAAATCAAATTAAGTTCTTAATATATCTTACCTGAGCCTCAACAGAGAGACTGTCTCCAGACTTGGATGGCTGTGACGGCACTGAGGGGGCTGGGCTAGGAAGCTGTCCTTCTCCACCAGCTGATGTGGACGGCTCAGCCAGTAATGCTGGGGACTGAGGCAGAGGCAAAGATAAGGGGCTGTTTCTGAGATCATGGCAGGGGTCATCCTCATACAGCACTGGAACTGTGATGTCCTCCATGATCTCCTCCTCAAACCCGTCATCTTGTAGATCCTCGTCATGTACTTCCTCCACCAGCCTGTCTTCCTCCTCTGGGTTCTGGAGCACCGGAGTCAGGGTTTTGCCGGTCTGGCTGTAAAGGTGCTCCATTCCCAGCAATTCACCTTAAAAAAATAAACAATAAAAAAACATATATTAAATAAAACTAATGATAAAATAAACATTTAGATTACCATTTTGTGTAGTACATTAAAAGCTTAATGAATAACTTCCATAACAACTAATTAATGAATTTCTTGCCTGTATATGCTCCAGTAATGCTGGGGACTGAGGCAGAGGCGAAGATAAGGGGCTGTTTCTGAGATCACGGCAGGGGTCATCCTCATACAGCACTGGAACTGTGATGTCCTCCATGATCTCCTCCTCAAACCCGTCATCTTGTAGATCCTTGTCATGTACTTCCTCCACCAGCCTGTCTTCCTCCTCTGGGTTCTGGAGCACCGGAGTCAGGGTTTTGCCGGTCTGGCTGTAAAGGTGCTCCATTCCCAGCAATTCACCTTAAAAAAATAAAACAATAAAAAAACATATATTAAATAAAACTAATGATAAAATAAACATTTAGATTACCATTTTGTGTAGTACATTAAAAGCTTAATGAATAACTTCCATAACAACTAATTAATGAATTTCTTGCCTGTATATGCTCCAGGAGGGTGATAGCGGTTATCCCAGGGCTTGCGTCCTGAGACATAGCTTTTGGTGGACAATGAGCATTGTGTTTTTCCTCTCTCTCTCCCTGCAGGTAACTGTGTCCACCTGGTAGCAATCATTGGATCTTTCTAGAGAGGAGAGAGAGTATTTAACCTGAGCTGCACTTCAAACCAGTGTTGGTGGTGTCAAGTGCAGTGGCGGAGCTTTTCTCCAAATTCAGACCTGACTCATGAGGTGAACGGATCAATTCTTTTTCCGGCTCTAAATGCGTATGATTGGCCCATGATGAACGAGTGACTCAGACCCGATAGAGGACTCAAGAGATGAACGGATCAATTCTTTTTCCAGCTCTAAACGCGTATGATTGGCCCGTGAGGAACGAATGACTCAAACCCGATAGAGGACTCGAGAGATGAACGGATCAATTCTTTTTTTGGCTCTAAACGCGTATTATTGGCCCGTGAGGAAGGAATGACTCAGACCCGATAGAGGACTCGAGTGATGAACGGATTAAATATTTTTCCTGCTCTAAACGCGTATGATTGGCCCGTAATAAACGAGTGACTCAGACCCGATAGAGGACTCGAGAGGTGAACGGATCAAATCTTTTTCGGCTCTAAACGTATATGATTGGTTTCTGCCTTTCCGCGATGAACGACACGAAATGTGATGAAGACTTGAAATAACGATACCACCTGCACAAATGTACGCACGCGCAAATTAACAAATCACTCCCTAAGAGGACTTATAGTTCCCAAATCATATTGAAGATTCGTTTAAAATAAACGAAATGTTCATGATCGACCCATTACTAAACCTGGTTAGATACCTGCTCCAGTCGGGGATTGAACCTTGTGATCTACCCAAAGTGTTATTTATGGACATATTTCTTGAACCAGTACTGTTATATATGCATTGAGTAGTTTCTGGTGGGCAAAAAATACAAAATATAACCTTAATTTCGCTTCTTTCTTTCTCAATTTCTCAAATTTTCTTATTTTTCTTGTGCTTTTTTCTTCCCCTTCCAAAACAGACTATTGTTCCCCAGCTTTAGCGGAGTCGGTAGAGGGTCCAGGGTTCAAGTCTGTGTTCGGGCATGAGAGACTCTTTGTGAAGCCACAGCTTTTGCCGTTGAGCTATCGCTTGCTGAAAGTTTCATCTGAATGCACAACACGTGTACTAGGCATGAGGACATGGGAGAACAGTCTTGTAGTCATGGCTGCGTGGTTAAGGCGATCGACTAGAAATCGGTTGGGGTATTCTCCCGCAGGTTCAAGTCCTGCTAACTATACCCACATCCTGTTCCTTTTTAAAATTGCAGCAGCCATCAATGTTTGCATTTCCATTGTTTCTTGGGAAAAGCGTTGTGCTGGTAGGAGGAGAAAAACAACTGTGTGTTCTCACTGAAGAGAAAGGGGCATATCACATGAAGGAACATACCACACAAGAGCCACAGCGGCAATCCTGTAGCTCGCTGTGATTGTATAGTGCTTAGTGTTCTGCATTGTGGCCACAGCAACCCTGGTTCAAATACGTGTCATGGCATGTTTTTCAAGGCGACATTGGTGTTGCACTCTGTGTTGCCATCCATAATCTCCAGCCTCCTTTTAGTGCAGGCTGTGCTAATGGCACATCCTGAATGTTTACGTTTCCTAAAGTGTGGAAGACTAGGGATTCGATATAAGAGAAATAGGATCTTTGATGGCAGCATGCTGTGTAGATAACTACTGATCAAGTCATGCTTCTAAGGCATGGAAGGAATCTTTTCAATTGTTGAGTGTCCATTCATTGCCACAACAGCAGAAAGACCTTCTGCAGTTATCATTGATCTCTTTAATGTCTCCTACATGACATGGAGTCCAAACTATTGTGTTGTACTGATGTCTACACTTACAACAACCATAAACCCAACCTCAAAGTAACCTGTCGTGTTTTAGCAACATCCACACCAACCATAAGCTTAAAACCCCATCTCACGGTAAACTTTAGTGTACTGTAAAGGTCTGCGCCGACCACAGCCCAAACCTTGCCTACTTGTAAATTACTGTTGTGGAGCCCGGATAGCTCAGTCGGTAGAGCATCAGACTTTTAATCTGAGGGTCCAGGGTTCAAGTCCCTGTTCGGGCGTGTGACGCTCATTTTGTGGAGCCACAGCTTTTGCTGTTGAGCTATCGCTTGATGAAAGTTTCATCTGGATGCACAATATGTGTACTAGGCATAAAGAAATGGCAGTACAGGCAGTCTTGTAGTCGTGGCCGAGTGGTTAAGGCGATGGACTAGAAATCCATTGGGGTCTGCCCGCGCAGGTTCGAATCCTGCCGACTATGTCCTCCCCCTTTTTAAAATTGCAGCAGTCGTCAATTGTTTGCATTTCCATTGTTTCTTGGGAAAAGCGTTGTGCTGGTAGGAGGAGAAAAACAACAGAGTGTTCTCACTGAAGAGAAAGGGCCTTATCACAGGGAGGAACATACTACACATAGGTCATAACGGCTGTTTCGTAGCTCGCCGTGATCGTATAGTGGTTAGTACTCTGCGTTGTGGCCGCAGCAACCCCGGTTCGAATCCGGGTCACGGCAGGTTTTTCAAGGTGACGTTGGTGTCGCACTCTGTGTTGCCATCCGTTATCTCCAGCCTTCTTTTAGTGCAGGCTGTGCTAATGGCACGTCCTGAATGTTTACGTTTCCTAAAGTGTGGAAGACTAGGGATATGATATAAGAGAAATAGGATCTTTGATGCCAGCATGCTGTGTAGATAAGTACTGATCAAGTCACGCTTCTAAGGCATGGAAGGAATCTTTTCAATTGTTGAGTGTCCATTCATTGCCACAACAGCAGAAAGACATTCTGCAGTTATCATTGATCTATTTAATGTCTCCTACTTGACATGAAGTCCAAACTATTGTGTTGTACTGATGTTTACACCTACAAAAACCATAAACCCAACCTCAAAGTAACCTGTCGTGTTTTAGCAACATCCACACCAACCATAAGCTTAAAACCCCATCTCACGGTAAACTTTAGTGTACTGTAAAGGTCTGCGCCGACCACAGCCCAAACCTTGCCTACTTGTAAATTACTGTTGTGGAGCCCGGATAGCTCAGTCGGTAGAGCATCAGACTTTTAATCTGAGGGTCCAGGGTTCAAGTCCCTGTTCGGGCGTGTGATGCTCATTTTGTGGAGCCACAGCTTTTGCTGTTGAGCTATCGCTTGATGAAAGGTTCATCTGGATGCACAATATGTGTACTAGGCATAAAGAAATGGCAGTACAGGCAATCTTGTAGTCGTGGCCGAGTGGTTAAGGCGATGGACTAGAAATCCATTGGGGTCTGCCCGCGCAGGTTCGAATCCTGCCGACTACGTCCTCCCCCTTTTTAAAATTGCAGCAGTCGTCAATTGTTTGCATTTCCATTGTTTCTTGGGAAAAGTGTTGTGCTGGTAGGAGGAGAAAAACAACAGAGTGTTCTCACTGAAGAGAAAGGGCCTTATCACACGCAGGAACATACCACACATAGGTCACAACGGCTGTTTCGTAGCTCGCCGTGATCGTATAGTGGTTAGTACTCTGCGTTGTAGCCGCAGCAATGCCGGTTCGAATCTGGGTCACGGCAGGTTTTTCAAGGTGACATTGGTGTCGCACTCTGTGTTGCCATCCGTTATCTCCAGCCTTCTTTTAGTGCAGGCTGTGCTAATGGCACGTCCTGAATGTTTACGTTTCCTAAAGTGTGGAAGACTAGGGATATGATATAAGAGAAACAGGATCTTTGATGCCAGCATGCTGTGTAGATAAGTACTGATCAAGTCACGCTTCTAAGGCATGGAAGGAATCTTTTCAATTGTTGAGTGTCCATTCATTGCCACAACAGCAGAAAGACATTCTGCAGTTATCATTGATCTATTTAATGTCTCCTACATGACATGAAGTCCAAACTATTGTGTTGTACTGATGTCTACACCTACAAAAACCATAAACCCAACCTCAAAGTAACCTGTCAAGTTTTAGCAACATCCACACCAACTATAAGCTTAAAACCCCATCTCACGGTAAACATTAGTGTACTGTAAAGGTCTGCGCCGACCACAGCCCAAACCTTGCCTACTTGTATATTACTGTTGTGGAGCTCGGATAGCTCAGTCGGTAGAGCATCAGACTTTTAATCTGAGGGTCCAGGGTTCAAGTCCCTGTTCTGGCGTGTGACGCTCATTTTGTGGAGCCACAGCTTTTGCTGTTGAGCTATCGCTTGATGAAAGTTTCATCTGGATGCACAATATGTGTACTAGGCATAAAGAAATGGCAGTACCAGCAGTCTTGTAGTCGTGGCCGAGTGGTTAAGGCGATAGACTAGAAATCCATTGGGGTCTCCCCGCGCAGGTTTGAGTCCTGCCGACTACGTCGTCCACCTTTTTAAAATTGCAGCAGTCGTCAATTGTTTGCATTTCCATTGTTTCTTGGGAAAAGCGTTGTGCTGGTAGGAGGAGAAAAACAACAGAGTGTTCTCACTGAAGAGGAAGGGCCTTATCACACGCAGGAACATACCACACATGGGTCACAACGGCTGTTTCGTAGCTCGCCGTGATCGTATAGTGGTTAGTACTCTGCGTTGTGGCCGCAGCAACCCCGGTTCGAATCCGGGTCACGGCAGGTTTTTCAAGGTGACGTTGGTGTCGCACTCTGTGTTGCCATCCGTTATCTCCAGCCTTCTTTTAGTGCAGGCTGTGCTAATGGCACGTCCTGAATGTTTAAGTTTCCTAAAGTGTGGAAGACTAGGGATATGATATAAGAGAAATAGGATCTTTGATGCCAGCATGCTGTGTAGATAAGTACTGATCAAGTCAAGCTTCTAAGGCATGGAAGGAATCTTTTCAATTGTTGAGTGTCCATTCATTGCCACAACAGCAGAAAGACATTCTGCAGTTATCATTGATCTATTTAATGTCTCCTACTTGACATGAAGTCCAAACTATTGTGTTGTACTGATGTTTACACCTACAAAAACCATAAACCCAACCTCAAAGTAACCTGTCGTGTTTTAGCAACATCCACACCAACCATAAGCTTAAAACCCCATCTCACGGTAAACTTTAGTGTACTGTAAAGGTCTGCGCCGACCACAGCCCAAACCTTGCCTACTTGTAAATTACTGTTGTGGAGCCCGGATAGCTCAGTCGGTAGAGCATCAGACTTTTAATCTGAGGGTCCAGGGTTCAAGTCCCTGTTCGGGCGTGTGACGCTCATTTTGTGGAGCCACAGCTTTTGCTGTTGAGCTATCGCTTGATGAAAGTTTCATCCGGATGCACAATATGTGTACTAGGCATAA